TCACAATTTAAAGCGCGGGTCAATTGAAGAGGCATTTTATAAATAGCATCAAAAAATGGAGCAAAAAAACCAATAAAATGTAATGTGTTCTTTATTATTTTAAGTTTAGTAATTAACTGCATACATAAATCGGTACATATACAGGGTGTTTGGTAAGTAGATGCATTCCTTGCAGGAGGTGATTACGCAAGTAATTTTGGATATATTTCGTTAATAGACCAGGTTCTGAAAACCATTAGTTTCCGATCTACAAGGTGTTAAAGTTTTAATTAAAAAAATGTTATTTATTAATATTTCGGAAACCGCTTAGAATATTATAATGAACTTTGACAGGCTTAGGCAACTTAGAACAGTACACGTTTTGTGATAAAAATGTTGTTTCCATCTTTTCCAGTGGCGTGAGTACAGGCACGTCTGTAGATAATTTTAAATAAAAATTGTTACGCCACGGATTTTTTTAAAAATAAATAATATTTGTCAAGTTGCTGTCCAATTTGGAAGAGAAAAGGTCTCTTGACTTTTTTGTCTACGACGTCCCGTTTGCTAGTAAACAAATTAAAATCGATTTATTGCACAGCGTAATCGGGTTTTCATTAAAAAGTTGGCTCTGCACTAGTTTTTGTCACTGATTGACAAAAGTAATAATTGCTGTCATTTCGAGTGTCTTTAGAATCGAGCAACAATCCGGCTATCTGCATGGTCTGCTTTGGCGACGACGCTGCAACATTGGCAGAAAGTGAGAATAACCTGCTGAGGCAGTTATTTAAGTTCTACCAGATCCGTCAGCAACTCAATACGGTAATTTCCTAACCGTGACCATCGCTAGGGAACCAATGAGACGCAAGCTGGTAAATTCATAGAGCATGTCATGCCAATTAGATACCTGGGCATAGATATGTCTGTCCAGAGCTCACAACCCGGTAAAGAACCTGATAAACCAAATTAACAATGGGGAACTTGAATTATTTTTTTTATATCTCTAATATATTTGCCTATCTATAGAAATCGCTCATACCAAATATCAACCCTCAAATCGCAATATTTAATTTGAAATAAACAATTAAAGTTGTAACGACAATAAACGCGTAGGAATGATCGTGACGTCATAGCGCTAGTTCGTTCAATCGAAAGGCAATACGGGAATACGGCTTGTCGTTGAACGTTGAATTGTCTGGGTGTTTAACTGTTCAGTTCAGAAGTCGTGCTGTGCTTTATTAATAATGGAAGCAACGCAAAAACAATATTACAAATGTTGTATGGTGCCACTGTGTCCTAGTACAACATTTAAAACGCCAGATAAGCTATTTATTCGTGTACCACGAGATAAAAGCCGGCGTTTAAAATAGTCAAAAGCATGCAGAAGAGGTCACAATGAAATTTCTGAGAAGACTACTGCCCATGTATGTGAAGATCATTTTAATGTAAGTGTAAAAAAACAGATTTGATTTTGTCTATTGTATAACAGATAGATATTTTGTTTGTTTCTCGGCTGCATTATAGTAATAGTAAATAATAACCTGAAAATAGTTATTTGCTATGGAAAAATCTCGTTTTATCGTCGTATGCAATATGAATATTAACACATATTTTTATGTAACTTTAAATATTATTTATTTATTCTAGCTGGAAGAAGATATGGATAACTATGTTAAATTTAAGTCAATGGGAGGTCTGCAAAAAATGAAGGCTAATGTAGTGCCTCATATATTTGATTGCCAGCCAGATAGAAAAAGATCTCATAAAAATCATCCCAGGGCAGCAGCTGTTAAGTAAGAGATCTAAGAGATCTGTAAGAGAGCTAAGAGAAGAATTGTTGATAAATCTATTGCTAGCTCTGCTATGACACAAGAACAAGTTTTTAATCAAGACGATTTGCAGATAGTTGCATCTAGTAGCCAAACTTCAACAATCAGCATTCATCCTATGGAAGTTCAGTTGGAAACAAGTGGCACTATGCCATTATTAGACATTGTATTTTCGAAAAAGGATGTCTCTACACAAACACATCCTAGGATTAGGAGTAAAGCGGTTCAGTGTAAACTATATTCTGTAGTTACGGTCGGGTTATCGCCAATAAAAGTAGAAATGAAGCCATCAACCAGTTTTGTGAGAAGTGTTTCTGAAAGTTCGCTAAGCATACAAAGTACGAATCCCTCTTGTGATGAAAGTTTTAGTGAAATTGACAGTGGAAGTAGTGATTATACTTTAACGCGCAACGAAGTGGAAGTACTTAACAAAGAAAATAAAACGGACTTTAAGTCTCTCAATGAACTGTACAATTACAAAGTTACAAAACAGACCTAGATTATATATGGGATTACCAGAATATGCGTATTACACATTTCAATTACTAGAAAAATATTGCAAGTTAAACTTTATGTATATAATTTTAACTCTAAAAAAAATTAGGACAGAACTTTCATTTATAGTTCTAGCAAATGATTTTGGCACAACTGAGAGTAAAGCTTTAAGAATATTTTCAAAATCTGTACCAATCATCAGTAAATATTTAAGGAAATGTATAATACAGCCTCAGGTTTCTTCTGTAAATTTAAATTTAACGTTAGCTCTCCGAGCTCGATATAGCAAGGTCTTTTGTATTATCGATTGCTTAGAAATAGAGATAGAGAGACCAACAGATGCAGTAAAGCAATCTTTAACATGGTCACATTATAAAAAGTGTAACACACTTAAGTATTTAATATCTTGTACCCCTGATGGTATCATAAATTATATATCAACAGCATTTGGAGGTCGTACATCTGATGCAGTCATTGTAGAAAATAGTGGCTTTTTGGATATATTAGCTCCAAATGTTGCTGTCATGGCAGACGGGATTTAAACACATTGACCATTTGTGGCTAAAGGTTGTTTCCTAATTAGGCCACCTAGCAGGCCTCTGCAGGCGTAAAACCTGCTAAAGATGAGGTATTTGAAACCAAAAGAATAGCCAGCTTAATAATTCATGTGAAA